CAATAATCTCCTAATATAAGCAAAAACATATGACAAATTAATGATAACGGGCACATTGTCTGCTTAACAGCTTGGTCACTAAATACATTTTAGAGAGAGAGGGAGAGAAAAAAATAGAGAGATGGGGAAGGTTAGAGTGGGAGAGAGAGAGAAATAGAGAGATGGGGAAGGTTAGAGTGGGAAGAGAGAGAGAGAGAGAGAGATAGAGAGAGAAAGGGACAGAGAGAGAGAGTAAAAGAGAGAGAGAGAGAGACCGAGAAAGAGAGAGAGGGGGAGAGAACTTAGGAAACTAGTGACATAAAAAAGAGAGAAAAGGAAAAGAGAGAGATAGAATTTAGAAAATATTTTGAAATTCTTGTGACAAAATTTTGTAGGATACTACATTCCCCTTGCCACAATCACTTATAAATATTATGAGGTATAATTTGTTTCACTTCCTTTTTAAAAAATCTGATAGGAACTAAATGTTTGGAAATGGCAGTAGAATGAGAAAAGAAGGATCTCTGAACACAAAACATCAGAAATTTAAAAAAAAACCCGCCACATTACTTTTACCCCCACCCTCTCGCATTCAACCCCCCCCCCCTTTTTTTCCTCCCTCTTTCTCTCCCTCTCTCTCTCTCTCTCTCTCTCTCTCTACAATCACCACTTCTCACTCTTTTCCTAGATTGAGTAAACAGAAATTGTTAATATAATTGATAGAGAGAGAGAGACTATGTCAACTTCCTATCCCAAATGTTCTTTGGTTCAACTATAGTCTTTTTATCACAATATTCCCCGAAGAAAATCGATGAAAAAAGTACACAATGATCGTACAAAAAGTCTCAGAAAGGCTTCTTTCACTCTCTACCATATTGTAATTCTCAATATCAATATTGGAATAGGCAGTGAATCAGCATTCAAAAGCACGTTAAAAGAGGAGAGAAGAAAAAGAGGCAATGAATTTCATCTGTTATTGGTCCCAGGGACCTATTGTTTTGCTTGTCACTACGGGCTCAATCTATACTCGGTTATGACGTAATCGTCGTTGAAAGCACTTTCTGTTCGCTGTGTAGATAGACGAAAGTACATGTATATATTCTCTCTCTCTCTTTCTCTCTCTCTCTCTCTCTCTCTCTCTCTCTCTCTCTCTCTCTCTCTCTCTCTCTCTCTCTCTCATTCCCCCCCCCCTTCCCTTCATGCAGAGGCGGCCCTCCCGGGGGCAGGGGGGCACAGTACCCCCTACTTTTTCAAGTACCCCCAAAAGTGCCCTTTTTTTACTTTCAATAGTGCCCCTTTTACTTTTACTTTTACTTTTTCTCATTCTCAAATGCTTATAGACCACTAATGACCTACTCATCAGTGTGTTTGCTCTGTGGGTGCGCGCGTGTGTGTGTGAAAAAAATTGTGTGCTCTATATCCTGTAGCTTATTTTCTTTTTCTTCCATCCCTTGTATAACATTACAATCTTTTTATTCACCTTGCCATATCGTTTAATGTATGTATTTTGTTGACTATAGGGCCCCGCTCACAAACTTAGCTTCTACAGGGGTCCTAAAAACCATTCATTTAATGATGTAATCAAGTTAATATATGTTTATTAATGTACTATTACCAGTCTCTTTTTTATGTAAAAGATTATATCATGTTTTTTGTGGTTTTGAATAAAAGAACTCGTACTTGAACTTTAAAAAGTGCCCCTTTTACTTTGTAAAAGTGCCTATTCACCTCTGATAAGTGCCTACCACACTTTTTTTACACGTGCCCTTTCCTTCGACAAGTTCTAATAGCTGCCCCTTTTCCTTATGATAAGTGCCCCTATTAAAAAAACTCCTTCCTCATCTCATAAGTGCCCCCTTTTAATCTATGAAAAGTGTCCCTTTTCATTCTCATATGTGCCTCTTCCCCTTTTCACCTCTGACAAGTGCCCGCCCCCCCCTTTTTTTTTTACACATGCCTTTTTCCTTCCACAAGTTCCCATTTTCCTTTGCAATAAGTATTCTAGTAAGTGTCCCGTTTCAGGTACGAGAAGTGCCCCTTTTCACTTTTGATTAGTGCCCCCGTCACTTCTTATAATTACCCTATTCAAATCTGAGAGGTGCACCTTTTATTTTAACATGTGCCCATTTTCCTTTCTAATAGGTGCCCCTTTTCCTTATGATAAGTACCCCCATTACAAAAAAAACTCCTTCCCCATCTCATAAGTGCCCCTTTTAATGTATGAATAGTGTCCCTTTTCATTTTCATATGTGCCCCTTTTTATCTACGGTAAATGACCCTTTTCAGGTACAAGAAGTTACTCCTTTTCACGTCAGATAAGTGCCCCTTTCACCTCCGATAACGATATTGCCCCTATTCAAATCTGAGAGATGCTCGTTTGACCTTGACAAATGCCCCTTCCCCTCCTGAGAAGTGCTCTTTTCATATCTGATAACTGCCCTTTTTTTGTTGACACGTGCCTCTTTTCCTTTGTAATAAACGATTTTCCTTCTTATAAGTGCCCCCTTCCCCTTCTCATAATTACCCCTTTTCATCTTTGATAAGTGCCCCGTTCATTTTAACATGTGCCTCTTGTTCTTTTTAATAAGAGCCACTTCCCCCTTCCCATAAAAGCCCCCTTTCACCTCCGATAAATACCCCTATTAAATCTGATCGGTGCCCCTGTTCTTTCAACTGATGCACATTTTACTTTATTATACTGTAAGTGCCCCGTTTTCATTCTCATAAGTGCCCCTTTTCATATCTAGTCAGTGCCCCTTTTCCTTTTTAATAAGGGACCTAATATCCTCTTTTCACCTCTTATAAATGCCCTTATCAAAATCTGATGGATGCCCAATTCCGTCAACAAATGCCAATTTCCCATTCTCAAAAAATGCCTTTATTCCCTGGTGAGTGACTCAATTTGGAAGGTGTAAGAAGTGCCTCATTTTCACCTCTGATAATTACCCTTTGTACTTCGACACGTGCTTTTTTTCTTTTTTAATAAGTGTCTTATCTCTTTAGATTAGTGCCCCCTTCTCCTCTCATCATTAAACTTGCCAGTAATTTAAAGCGACTAAAAGCAATGGCCTCTTTATACGATGTCATTTTTCGCACTACAACCTCACAAATCTTAAAAAGTTTTCCTAGCTCGCTTCGCTCGCTCGAATGTGAATATTCAGACTATCACACCCAACTGCAAAGTATGATGCTTAAGTAATATCTTGTATGGTGTATAAAGAGAAAAAAATATTGAAATCATCCCTGATAATGTAATCACAATGTAAGGGTATATACCAATGTCTAAATCGAAAATAAAAAATTCATATTTTCGCTTTGAGATTTCCCTTTGTAGGTGACCTTTTTTCCAGAAAGTGCTTTTTTTGGTGCCCCCCCCCCCCCACTTTGAAAGTCGCTCGGCCGCCCCTGCCTACATATTCTACCATTTCTCATTCTTTATCCTAGATTTAGTAAACAAAAATTGGAAATATAATTGATAGAGAGAGAGAGACAATATCAACTTCCTATCCCAAATGTTCTTTGATTCAACTACAGTACATGTACTGTATAGTCTTTTTTTATCAAAATTCCCCGAAGAAAATCGATGAAAAAAGTACACAATCGTACAAAAAAGTCTCAGAAAGGCTTCTTTCACTCTCTACTATATTGTAATTCTCAATATCAATATTGGAATAGGCAGTGAATCAGCTTTCAAAAGCAAGTTAAAGGAGGAGAGAAGAAAAAGAGGCAATGAATGTCATCTGTTATTGGTCCCAGGGACCTATTGTTTTGCTTGTCACTACGGGCTCAATCTATACTCGGTTATGACGTAATCGTCGTTTAAAGCACTTTCCGTTATGTTTGCTGTGTACAAAAGTATTTATTCTCTCTCTCTCTCTCTTCCTCTCTCTCTCTCCTTGTTTCTCTTTCTCTCCCTGTCTCTCTCTCTTTCTTGTTCTCCCATTCTCTCTACCTCCATTTCTCGCCCTCCATTTCTCGCCACTTCTTTTTATCTCTCTCTCTCTCTCTCATTAAAAATTATTTTCTATATATTTCAAATGAAAGATATCGTGCACAAGAGAGGGACAGAATATGAAAGAGACAACAAAGAGACAGAAACAGGGTGATACAGAGATGGGAGGAGAGAGAGAAAGAGAGAGAGAGAGGGAGAGAGAGAGGGAGAGAGAGGGAGAGAGAGGGAGTGGTGAAACTGAATAAGAAGATACCTAATGAATGGACTAGACATCTCATAAGAGAATAACACAGTTTAAATTTCAAAAAATATGAAATCTCATAAAATCTAATTATGGTATAGCTTTTATTCTTCATTAATTATAGAAATGTGTATAGCATAACTAGTCGGTGTTTAGTTCCATATGTACTTTGTCAAGAATCATAAGGCCTTTATACTTTCATTTTATGGCCGGAATGTTTCTCAGACCTTTTTTCATTTAGCGTTTTGGCTATCTTCATTTCGGCATGTTCGGGTATATTTATATAGCTTACAGAATCTTTGATTCGACGTTTATCAATATATACATGTATTTCATTCTCATACAAACTACTCTCGGCCAAAATGAAAGGTTTTCCATCAAAAGGGGAGAGGAATAATCATAACAAATTTCCTCTTTCCTGAATCATATTTTGCCATAAAACAAAATCATTGTATCCACCCTAAATTCAGAAAAATTACAACCGTTTTCATCAGGTTATATTGACGCCATCGTTATTCTTGGACCAATAATTTGTTCAGTAACATGTTGAAAATGTATCAACTGTCGGATGTTGCAACGTCTGCCAAATCGTTAGATTGTCCGAGCGGAATATTCGTGTCTGATTGGCTAAAATGAAAAGTTTTCCATCAAAAGGGCCGGAGAGGAATAATCATAATATTTTCTCTTTCATGAATCATATTCTGCCGTAAAACATAATCATTGTATCCACCCTAAATTCAGAAAAATTACAACCGTTTTCATCAGGTTATATTGAAGCCATCGTTATTCTTGGACCAATAATTTGTTCAGTAACATGTTGAAAATGTATCAACTGTCCGATGTTGCAACGTCTGCCAAATCGTCGGATTGTGCGAGCAGAATATTGGTTTCTGATTGGGTGCTTGGAAATGACGTCGTCCTGATAGCACTAAGCTCCGCCTTCCTGAGAGCTTGCTGGACGCGAGAGCTGTGTGACTCTGGCCGACATAACCTGCATGATAATTAAACAAGGATTTAAAAAATATTACAAATAAAACGTCTATCAACTTGATTAATGTTTGTGGCGACATTCTAATTATTGTTGAAATATTTGACTAAGATCAACGAGGCCAGAACACAATTCATCAATAATTCAATAAATTGATATACAAGGAAGGGTCTTGTACTGATACAAGACGTATAATGATGTTAAACCGACTGCTGTCAACAATTGACATTTTAGAGCAACATTCCATCTTGAATGTGTTTTCTTGGCATATTGTCTACGCTTATAAGTTTTTTTTATAGGCCTACATAATTGATAATAATAGAGAATTCTTATAAGGGCATTCATACTTCTCTTAATACCAAATTACTACTATCTTGCCGTCTAAATCAATTGTATTAAATATTAATTAGATAAAACATATTCATACTCATACTTGTCAGCGCTGTTTTGATTGGTTGCTTGTTGTATCTCAGATGTCATCAAACCTTTGATGGCCCCGAGGTCGGCGGTGAGTCCATCAAGCGCTTCACGGTCCAGATCACGAAGGGAGCCAAGCTTTGCAATCTCGCTCTTCAAACCACGGATCTAAGTTTACATATTTTAAACATAAAAATTACAGTTTCATTATCAGTCTCGTTTTATTGATAAGGAATAGACATGGTCCGATTGGGTAAAATAGCATGTGCGTGCATAAGAAAAAATACAAACTTTGTTCAATTATGATAAAAACGGCATTTCTCTTTTGTAAGTTGCCATTTTCATCTATCACAATACTTATATTTTATTTTTTTGGGGGGAGGGGGTGAGCTATTTGGTGTTTGGGGAGAAGGCCTGCTTTTATTTTCTACATGTGCCTCACCATTTTATTTTTTTTTGGGGGGGGGGGGGCGGAGGGGGCTTGAGCCTACCTCCCCCTCCCCTTCCCCCACTCTTGTACCGCTACTGACTGTAGATCTGAAGCTAATATTGGAAAAGTGTGGCATTTCATTAAATCTTCATTGAACGATCATCAGTTTCAAATATAGATTATTTTTAAAGAAAAAGAAGCTTGCTAATGCAGTTCATCAGTACATTTTGAAGTTCATAATTTATTGTCTAACTTTCGTGGAGTTATCAAGGTACCTCTCTCTGGTCGTCCGAGATGTTTACTGGTTGGACTTCTTGTTTTTGAAGACGGTGCTCCAGTTTGGACAACTTTCTCTGGATTTCCTTGCTAGAAATAAGTGTGATTAAAGAGGACAAAAGATATGAATGCCCGTATAATACAATATTCTTTTTTAATTTGTTTGTTTGAAGAGTGAATTTGTATTAAGTCTAATGTTAATTTATCATCAGCACATAATGCATTATGTGCATGCATCGCTGATTAATCAGCACATTATACTTTAAAAAAGAACTTTAAAAAAAGTTATAAGCATAATAGAATAACAGGGAGGTGTAGAAAGTGGACAGAGGAGAGACGGAGCAGACAGGGAGGTGAGAGGAGGAGGAGAGGAGAGGGGAAGGAGGAGAGAAGAGAAGAGAGATTAGAAGTTGAGAAGAAACAAATCAAACAAAGAAGACCGAAAGACAAACAAAATATTAGAGGGCAGATGTAGACAGAGATAGGCATAAAGAGTGTGGGTATACAAAAACCATTTAGGTAGGATAGATGCATAAAAAATATAAGGGAAAAGAAGAACAAAAATATGGGAAATTGTAAGGGTCAGAAGTTGAATTAACCAACCCCAAGACAGTATTAATGAAATGATCACTTTGTAAATGGTTAAAGACCAAAAACAAAATGAGTACGAGAATCATTATTATCGCTGGGTATACCTCTGAAGAACTCCTCTCTCTTTCTCATGGTCCTCCAGTAAAGTGGTCTTCATTTTGATGTCATTCAGTTCGTCATCATATCTACGGGTTAAAACGTAAAAATGAAAAGGAATGAAGCATTCAAATTGCATTCGGCCAAAATTTAAAAGTAGGAAGGTGGGAATTATTATGATAACAATAAAGTGATTCAGTCTTCATGAATAGGTGTACAATAGTTTGTTTCCGTCATACTCGTACCCTATTCTTTTCAGGAAACTCCTGAAACATGCTTCAGTTAGGCGCTTATATACTTCAGTCATACTTGTTTTTTAATTTTAAATTTTTGTCTTCCCTTTCAACATTCCCCTTTTCTTTTCTCACCTCTGCTCGAGAAGTTTTCGGAGTTGTTTCTCCGTCTGAAGTTTATGTTTGACGTCACTGAGCTTTTGTTTCAAATCCCAGTTATCCTGTTGCAGATCGCAGGTAGCGGCTTGGAGACGGGTGCATTCTGCTTTCTGGTTGCTTAGAGAATCGCTGATGAGAAAATGATGACGAATTTCATTACTTTGTCAAATTTCAGATAATATCTCGTCAACATAATTTTATGAGCGTTATTACAACACACCGCATGAGTGAGGTATTTGTTTCAAAGGGATTTTAAGAGCAACACTTTTTTGCCAGAAAGACAACATTTTCAGTTCATTCGTAAATGGACAAGAATAAGGAATCCCTTATACTTCTGTCAATGATTTACATGACTGAAATATAAAGATAAAGTTTTGATGAATTAGCTTGAGAAGCTTTGTATCATTTTTCTATCAGTTCTGAGCGAAAGTTACTAGGTATATGGATAGTTGCATGCCCATTCTCATTTAATTACCCATCTTGATAAGGTCTTCAGTTTCAAGTTTTATTTCTGCATTTTCCATAAACAATAACAAAAATAACAATGAATACATTTAGCAATATAATGATAAGTAATACAAGTATATTCACAAATAAATAAATATAAATAATCAATAGTACAATTAAATCGTATTTGAAAAGAAAGAAAAGGGGGAGAATGCAGAAGACCGAAAGTAATTAACGTACCATTTTACTTGCATATCGATATTTAACCGACAATTCAGTGCTTTGATTGAATGGATCTCCCTCTCGGCCACCTCTCTGTATAAGGATAAGGATAAAAGGAGAAAGAATAAATTGTTAGACTGTGAAGGCTTCCTAAATGTCTTGATATCGAATTGACTGAATAGAGAATTATTGTCTACAAACATAGAAATTAATTATACACAATCAATTTGAAAATATAAGTAACTTAAGTACGTACTTTCGAACGCTTATGGCGTTCCTCGTCAGACTGAGGCCGTCGTAGATGTTAGCATTCGAAAATACTCACCAAAGTTACGAAAATTCAAATTGATTGTTTAAAATAAATTTTTCAACCGGTAAACTACCAAACACATGACGTTTTTTTCAGAATAGTAGTAATTCATAGTATATCAGTCTTTACATAGTCAGCGTTATACAGTTTAGCAATACAGAATCACAAGATAAAAAAGAATTTCAACTTACAGCTTTCTCTCCAGTTCTCGTATAAGACTGTCATGCTCGCAATCTCTGAAAATGATTTCAGGCGCAACACTGGCATCAGGCTCTTTGGTCTGTCAAGACATAAATAAATAATGATAGATATTTTATTCCAATCTTCTTTCTCTGGTTTTCATATGGCTAACATGGGGCACAATTTGGCAGATCCCTAATTTTCGGGAGTAGGGGAGAAATATTTGGGAAGAAGCATCCTATCTTGTTCCTCAAAAGGCAGGATTTCAACATTCCAGTAGCTTTCTAACAAACTTGGGATGCATTTCATGTTTGCGTATCTGCCTTCTGAATCCGCCTAGATGGATTCAAATGCATTTCAGGATATAAATAAATAGATATATTAATAAGCAGCACGTAAATGAAGAGGTGTGGATTTGTAATGAATATATAAAAGTAAAGCTTGATTCGATCTCAATAAACTTATGTTTAAAATCAGTATTGAAAAAGCATGCTAATGTAATATTCTTCACACTCTCGAAGATGGGTTTCGTTCACATCGTTTTTTTTTCTTTTCGAATATTTAGACACTTTCACTGTGAAATAACAAAATGTGCCTGTATTTTCTCTATCCCTTCTTTTAGATGATCTCAGTATACAAACAATACAATTAGAAGAATTCCTTTGCTTTGGTAGAATTTCATAAACACAGTAAAGACGGGGAGATGTGAGTTGGACCAGCGGTACGTTCACTTGGTCAGCTCTCTGTCTTCGCCTACAAACTGGCCCAGGCGACCCCGGTTCGATACTGAGTCACGTCTTTCGGACGGTGACGTTAACGGTCGGTCCCCAGGCGTAATATACGTTCATAAAAACCTAATTACACATACACACACGTATGGTAAAGACACAATCAGTATGCTTTCTACCTTATCTTGATGTGACTTGATTATTTCATGTAATAACGTGATTTGGGCATCTTTCTCTCTGCATGTTATGACGAGATGTGCGTTCTCCTGGCTAAGATCATTTCGAATCTTCTCAGTTTGATTCAATGTCGACATCGTTTCTTCAGCAGCTTGTGATCGAAATCGAAATTTCCTCTTCGCTTTGTGCTGAAATCGGAAAACTTGGTTGCATGAGTCAAAATTAGAATCCTATACATTAAATATTTTCGACTGTCTGAAACGATTTTAATTTTCTTTCCTCGAATAAGATTGGTGCGAAGTGTCTCAATTTGATTCAATGTCGACATCAACAGGTCATGAGCGAAAACGGAGATCTCTCTTCGCTTTGTGCTTAAACGTAATGAACGTTGAGCTTTATTTGTTTAGAATTAGATGTTGATAATCTTTAAACATTGAGTTTCTAGGGGAAAAAAGTTTTTAATATTTCTAAAATTATGCAATAATATTGATTTTCGAAAGACTTTCATTCATCCTTTTCATTCATATTTCCGACCACCATATCACGATACAGCATGGTTTTTAATTCATTTGATTTCTTTCCCCCATACTCCATATAGGAGAAGTACCGACTGAAATTAAGCCGTTGCAACCTACCAATTCAACACGTTTGCGCTTCAATTCACTGATGACTTTCTTCATCTTTCCAGCTGCTTCTTGGTTGTGTGTCCTCTCATCCTCCAAGGCAGCATGTATCGTTTCCAACTCGTGAGTGAGCCACTCGTTCTCCTCGTAGAGGGCTTCCTGGGTCTCGGTTAGCTGACCAAGCTTCGATCGGCTATCCTTCAGGCATTCTTGCAGCTGAATGGTGTAAGAATGAGAAGAAGACGTTATATTGGTTCGCATACATTTGAACTTTAAAAAAAAAATCTGCGTTCGATACTATCACGTTACATTGCTGGCGACTTTCTCGTTCCATTTGTTTTGTATGAACCTGTATTGTAGGATATTTGTTGTCAAGGTATATGTAGATCTTCGGTAAGATTTCACATCTGTGATCTTTCGTTTCACATCAAATTTGATTAATAGGGATCAAATTTAAGAAAAATAAAACTTTTTCGATATCGGCAGATCTTTACGAATATAGCAAATTTATAAATGCGATCGAGAACATCGCCCTTGTTAATGTATAATATGTTGGTTTGTTGTTGTTTTTTGGGACGCTTACAATTTATTCTGATGCCTTGCTAGAGATTGAAAAAAAAACCCGGATCTTTCTCCCTTTATTTCACTTGTTGGCAAATGACTGGCTAACTTAGCAGCAAATTTTGTCCCAATAGAAAACAGTCCAGCGACACCCCTGTGCATGTTCATACGAATTAGAACCTAAAAATCTCTGGAAAGGATTTCAAACATTCTTAGGGACTGAGAGAAAAAAGAATGTTCCATTAGAAAGCTATCAAACCTTCATTTGATGGCTAAAACACAGTAGTTTAATCAACTCTAGAAAAAAAATTCGTTTAAACCCATTTAATGCAACATAATACAGTAGGGCGCCGGCTAACAAGTCACTGAACAGATCAAAGACCGAGAACGCTGTCAAAACCATCACGCATCTTATCAATTAACATACCTCAGCGATATCATGTGTGATATGTGTGGCGCGATTCCTCTGCAACTCCTGTTGTAGTAGGAATTGTTGGAGTTGCTGCTGTTGCTGCTGCTGTTGCTGTTGCTGTAGGGTCTCGTCACTGACGCGTTCTTCCCGACTTCGATTTTGTTGGCCCCTCTCCTCAGTTTCGACAGGGTTAACTGTGCTGCTCGTCTCTACCTCTTGCGTTGCCCGATTTCTACAGAAAATGTATCAGTTGATGACGTAAGGAAGCCTTACCGTGTTAACGTTGAAAGAATCATGAATGCAACTTTTCATGAGTTTCAACTTTGTCCACCTGAATCTCTCTGATTTCCTTTGTTAAAATTTCACGTCTTTTCTCAACCCAATAATACTACTTAAGCTCGACTATTACTCTAGTTCCCAATAAAAAACTTCACATTAATACTAGTTATCCCTAATAATACACATACATTTACATGTACATTGAATATTGTGTTCGTCTTGTAAATTAAATGGTATATAATTATGCAGATTGTGTCTCAATATCGTTTCAAAGCCATTACTGTTCAACCAACATTACTCTTCCTTTATGTATTCATGTATCATTATCATTCTTTGCATTGTATGGTTGTTCATATAGTGCCATTACTGTGATGCGTGTTGTTATGAAATTAAATTCAATTTAATTCAAATCAATTACTTACGACCGCTCTTGTTCTAGCTTGATTATCTTCTTCCTCCGAAGCTTCAATGCCTTTTGTAATTTCTCTATCTTTTCTTCAGATTTGCGACACCTCTCTTCTGCGTCGTCTTTGCTCTCGAGTTCCCAGTCTCGCTCTTTTTTCATCTCTTCATACATATTACGATCTGCCTCCCGCAGTTGTTCTAGTTCATCGATTCGTGACGTCATGTCATCGGATTGGGACTGGTAGGACTTTATTTCTACAAGAGAATCGTGAGAATAAGAACAACATGTAAATCAATGTTAAAAGAAAGACTGCAAGTCAGCAAAAATATATATTAAAAATCTGTCTCCCGCAATTGTTCTAGTTCATCGATTAGTGACGTCATGTCCTTGGATCGGGACTGGTAGGACTTTATTTCTGAACGAGAATCATGTGAATAAGAACAACATGTAAATCAAACTTGAAATTAAAATAAAATGAAACTCAGCTAAAATATTTATTAACGAATTTAGTTATTTTGATGACCTGCTTCTTGAAGCATCGGCGTATGTTCCCCTCCCCCCAAAAAGGGTGGAGTCGGGATACACCCCACCCGTTTAAACGCCGAAGAGAAAAATTCATATGACTTATACAGAGTGTCTCCTGGGTCATTCAAATCCACTACACCCCTTTCCATTGCTCTTGGGTGTGAATCCCTCTCGCCTTATTACACTTTGCCTTTTTTAAGGCTTATTGTAAAATCCGATTGAGAATATATTTTTAATGCACATTGATATGTTTTAAATTGTCGGCCAGCTTTGGTTTTCACCACCCCTCCCCCATATTCAAGATTTTTTAGCGAGGCCCCTTTATCAAGTTCAGGCATCAACATTATTCGAACATCGTCTTGTCTCCCTAGTGTATATGGAACCCCCCCCCCCCCCCGAAATACACCGAAATACTTTCGTAATATTTCTCAGGTAGTGGCAAGTACAGTTCAGTCTCCATATAAATACATTCGGGTATCTGTGCCAGCATCTACAAAACGTACTTTTCATTTTCTTTTTCATATCGTTTTCAAAGACGTACCGTTTTCTAACTGGTCCTTGATTTCCTTCATCTTCTCCTTCATCTTCTTAAGGTCATTTGTCCTGATGGCCCATTGACCTTTCAGATTGACCATCTCAGTCTGGAGTTGGTGAATCTGCTCGATATTGCTTCTGTTCTTCTCTACCAAATTCAAATGCAACGTCTATCGTAAAAAAGGGTGATAGAAAATGTGTCAAAATTAATGAATTAATGATGGCAGATGTATACTTAGGCTTTTCGCAAAAGTAAATGGCATGAATGGGTAGGGGGCCGAAAGCGGACAATATAAACGAAAGCCGAAGGAAACGAAAAGCTTCAATAAAAGTCTGTATTCACTGGTATTATTCGATTTTGTCGTATACCAATCATAATTTTCTTTAGATGGCCAATGTATCAAATTTCACCTTGACAATTTCACGTTTCTGTCTAGCTCACTTTTCAATTCATTTTTCTGTTTTGATTTATTTCAGGCAGTGAACCTTTTTATTGGAATACAATAGTCATCTTTTTTTGTTTATATGCTCATGGCCAAACAGGGCAATAACCAGAGAATAACGTTGCCGTTCTCTATAGGCATATGGAAGGTTCATGAGCTACCGTTTTTTCTCACCATTATGATCTTTAGATATTCCATTTTCCTTCAATAATTATCCAAAATTGTAAATTCTGTAGATTTGTGACCATGATTTGAACGTCCTTTGAGAGACCAATGCCACTTAATGGTGAGAGCAAACAGTGGCATGAACAGCCTGCCATAGTTAAGTACAATTTAAAGTCGATCTTAGTCTTTGTGAAACACCCCCCCCCCCCACTTCATAATTATTCACAATTCCCTAACAGCGCTAATAAAAGTTTAAGCATATACCTTGAGATGTTCATAGTTGTTCATCTCACAGGTGAGACGCATTTTGAGGTCCGTGGTTTCTTTCGTAAGTTCCTCCGTTCTGCCTTCGTTCTGAAATAACGTTTCTTTGGACTCGGTTCGGGCCGCCTCCAAGTCTTCAATCTGCCACATGAATGAAATATGTTTAGTAATTTTATATTTCTATAGGGCATAATTATAAGGTAAGGGGTCGGGGGACTCAATCACCTCGAATTTGTCAAACTATATTTTCGGGCAAAGGCCACTTCATATCCAGTATGTCCAGTCAACGAAGTTGGCTCTTTTTCATCGTTATTTCGTCGTATGTATATTTAGTAACGAATTTCTGTGAAAATAGCCTACTATAACAGTGGATGCCTCTATATAGGTGTCTAAAAATGTTTCTAACGCGAAATTCAAAAACTGGAATAATACTATTCCCAGCAGTAATATGCTCGAGAAGATTACTTTACTTTACCTTACAGAAGCCAACCATTCTTTTGGATGATGCAAGTATGTCGGTAAATGTGTTTCGAAACCACTTCTTTCACCATGTTTATACTAGACAGGTGTAAAATTATCCAAAGTAGCCCCGTTCCTAAATGTTGTTCCTTGTATCTTCACTTAAAATTTATCAGGACATACTTTGACGTGTGAGAACGCACCTTGTGCAATATAGCATCGCGCTGGTTCTCCATCACAGTCTTCTCCGCTTCCATCCTGTTACGCTGTCCGTCGAGCTGCAGCAGCCGGACGTTGAGTTCATGAATCTCGTCTTCCCTCTCGCCGAGCCGCCGGCTGAGCTCCTGAGTGTGCTCCGATGCATGCCCGACTTGCACCAACACCTGCTCCAAGTTGTTGGACGTCGTTGATAGTTCGTTACACTTCTGTTCTAACTGTTTGGACAATCGAGAGAAAGAAAGAAACAAAATTATCAACAAAGTTAAAGCGAAATAATCAATCAAATTAGAAACGTATACAATTAAGTTTCCATGTACCAATCTCAGAAATAAGGAGGCGAGCTTTCATCTATTCATTGAGTTTGGTAGGAGCTTAAACTACTGGTCAGGATAACCTACAACCATCGTTTAAAAATTTCCCGTATCAAAATATCTATGACTAATTTCCAAAGCTGTTTGGAAGCGCATAGGGACGTTATAACAATGTGATATGCGCTATACAGGAACCGAATATTATTATTATTAGTGACCATGTGAAATAAGTAAAATTATTGCAACTCCTACAACTATTCGCTTCATATGAAATTCGGAAACAAAATTCAATTCAAAGTCATGTTCTGTACATAATGAAGAATCGGAATTAAAGTACATGTAAAAACCAATCACTATCAGGACCCCGTCTTTTAAAGACCCGTGATTGGCCAAACCTTATCGCGAGTCCTACACTCAATGTACAATCGTCCTTTTCCTATGTGCAGATTTGCAAGTATCAATGCGTAGATCTACATTGTTGCGATCAATTCGAATCAATCGCAACTCTTTAGAAGATAAGACGGTGCTCACGTCATCATCATCAAAGATGTTGTTGCTCGTCAACATACACATTATATATCTTCGTTCCTGCCCCTAGCACTAATAATTTGGACCCTTTAAAGGGATCCGGTAACTTTGTCTTAGATCCTTTAGAAATAATCCTTGATTTAGCTCGTGCTGCAATGATAATTATAAACCTTTAGGTCAGTCAGGAACTCCATGACTTTTACAAGCCGATCGCCTGTCTGATTATCAAGATATTAATGATTGGAATTACAAATTTTGAAAACCGTTCGCCGAACGGTTTTCATAACACTACAGTCTATTGGGGAAAACGAGTATGGTAAAACCGGTCACTCAAAGATTTTTACTTTTTTGAGGCACTTCTTGATCATTTTGAAGCGCGATTTTTTTAGGGCTTCAATATTACACCATATCACAGACACTGGTAACATGAAAGACCGTGTATCTCAGATTTAACATTGTTAAACGATCCCTTTAATATGCTAATTAGTTTCAGTATATTTTACTAATTTACTGATTTGATTGTTGTCAGTATGGAATTCTTTTATTTGTTATCGTAGAAGTGTCGTGGTCGAGTGGATACGTCACCGGACTGTCGATCACAAGGTCCGAGTCCCGAGTCCCGCAGCGGCACTATCGTCCTTTGGCAAGATATTGATCTACATTTGCCACTCTCCACCCAGGTGTTAAATGGGTACCCGGTAGGAACAGGCTGGGTAGGAATGAAGGTAGTTTTTACCTTTTGCGACAAGTCTTCTACCACTGTCTTTTGTTGGTCTCGCTCTGTCAGGTTATCACTCTTGATGAAATCTAATTTTCTTTTCAATTCTTCAAATTCTTTCTCCAGTCTCTCCTTCTCCTGCATGCAGTAACTCTTTAGCTTCTCAGCAGCCGCTAGCTCTTTGGCCTTAGATATTTTATTGAAAAATATTATAACGATGTCACAATTTAGATGAATATAGCTTTGTAGAATATTATATGTGTACATCATTTCATTTAAAACAAATAACCACGAATTTTACTCAAAATATTGCAGCTTACTTTAAATCATTCTTTTAGCTATCATTGAATTCTACGCAATTAGCAAGGAAGAAACAAATAAAGTTCACGCCTTTCAAAAAGAAAATATACGATGCTCTTCGCTTTACATGACAGAATGTAAAAAGCTACTTTGCTCCATAGCAATTAAAATGTGGTTCCCATAACATAATGTTTATACTTTTATTGACATACATTGCAAACTCATTTCTAATGTGTATATTTACTCGTAACTTTGGTCACTAAATAAAACAACCCTTTTTACAGCCTTAGAGATATGTTCACCGAAATAAAAGCCGATTTTGACGTTCCATACATCATTTTTTTTCTCAAATGGACACATACCATATTTTCATGTTCCAAGGTGGACTGGTCTAGCCGCGCTTTGAGTTGAGTATTCTCTGATATGTAATGACCCACCATCTGATCGGCATCTTTACGGAGCTGCTGTTGAGAACTTCAAGAATAAAAAAATATATATATATCAAGGGTCAAGGAAGAATGAAAGAAAAATTAGAGTGACATTATTAGCACACTATCCTTATAAATGAAATTAACGAAAATCCCATGACTTTAAAAGATACGATGATCTCTTAAACAGGTTCCAATAACTTTCAGAGTTACAACTGTACGTGTATTTTGTAAGTTTTTATTTTGAAATTATTAATTGGTCGAAATATTTGAAAATACTATTCTTCTCTAACAAATATTTCATTTTACAAAAATAATAATAATTATAATTATACCCCGCCCCCCTCAAAAAAGTATATATTTACGTATTGTATGCTGAGTATCGTATTTGTTCCATTGCATGTCCGAACGAAAAATCATAGGGACAGTCCCGTATGATCAATTTGTCCAATCCTCTAAAAACAGGTTTGACTCTCTGTATACCCATACAGCAAATTAGATATTCAAAAAAAATTACTGGTTATCTATTATTTACTTACTCGATATGTTGTTTGTAGCTGGCCAATAAGGATGTAAGACTATCAATCTGAGTCTGCGCAGTCTGACGATTTCGATTTAGTTCTTCGCTCAAATTCGTTAATTCTGTGCGATAACTCTCCAAGTCCAGCTTCAACCTTTCATTCTCCTCCAAAGTCTATAACAAAAACGAAAAAATTGATTGGAATTAAATAATAAAGAGGACATGGACTAATCATTGTTTTGTGTGGGGGCGAATATATCAAATTGTTCGTGGATTTGGCATTCATCTATGCTGGTCTTTAATTTGCAATATAATTTTATTGTGTGTTTTGCCTTTTTTTCAGTATAAAAATCAAACATCGTAACGTACGCCCTTCCTTTACACCCTTCATTTTCCCCTGTCTATACCGTCAGATACAAAAAGATGCTCTGTTTGTTTTGCCTGACTGCTAAGAAAACATGTGTATGCTTGTAAGTAAGCAATCAGGGACCGACGGTTTTAAGTCCTCTCCGGGGGACTTGGTTATGAAGATTAATGCCTTACCAAAGTGCACTTGCGCATCGACTTGGTTTCGAACCCGAGACCTCCCGGTTATACGAGACCATTGCTCTACCACTAAGTCATCGCGCCTCCTATGTAAGTATTGTGTAATAGGTTGATAATAATTCAGAAAAGAATACATAGGCCTATTGGGCGTAAATAGGTATAAAAGGAGTAAAGATTGTGAAAGAACATACCATGTTGTCTATGCATGCAGTTGCCTCTTTCCTCTCTTTTATTATTGCCCCCTCCACATCGCGATTTGCTTCCTGCAGGGCGGCAAGCTCTGTGGTAAATCCTTTCTCTTTGGTTTGGAATACTATTTGCAATCTGAGCATAGGATTATATTGAGATAATAGTATATTTAGTAAGTATACATTTGTCAACTTGAATCAAGTATTAACATTTACAAACAACTTTTGTTTTTTAAATGTCGTGTTTTTAAGAAAGAAGTAAAAATGTATACGAATGTGTCAGACTGTTGTTCAACGGTAAAAGGGAGAGATAGATATATAGAGAGTTTGAATAATATATAGATAGATATATTGATTATTAGATAGATAAATTGAAAGATAGATAGATAGATAGATAGATAGATAAATAAATAGATAGATAGGTAGATAATAACACAGATATAATAAGACAAAGGAGGAAAGATACATAGATAACTTCGGGATTATTTCCCAAATCAGAAATAGCGGGCTATTTGGCAATCTCGAGATGATGAAGACGCGCCTAGAGAGAGAGATAAGAAAAAGATCATCTCTATTGATTACTCAGCCTAAGTGCTGTCTTTAATAAAATTTACATTAACCTCAAGGGCTACTTATCATAAGTCTGGAACATTATTTCACAAAATTCAAAGTGGTCAACGTTATTCATGGCAGTGACAATGCAGCTTCATAAGGCAGTTTCGCTTAACTTTGTCTAATCATTCATACCTTTTTATGATATCCGTGTTAGGAGAAAGATCTTCCATTCCCGTGGTCTTTTCTACATTCGTGACATACTCGTGTAGCTCATCCCTCTCAGCCTGCAGTCGCTGCACCTCGGCGACACGTCTTCTGCTTGCCTCGAGTTCTCCTTGAAGAGTACGGGTAAGATGTTCGGCATCTGATTTATACTGCCTCAGCTTCTGCGCAAGAAAATAGTTTTGAAAATGTATTGAATTAATCGACATTGAAACGTATCAATTAAATGTAGTCAAGAACAAAATAAAGTGCAAATTAAGTAAAGCAAAGTGAAATTAAGATCAAGTTATACAATTTGTAGAATAAAGTGCTAGTATAACTTTCTCCCTTTTTATCTCTCTCTCTCTCTCTCTCTCTCTCTCCCTTTCTCTCTCTCTCCCTCGCTCTTTCTCTCTCTCTCTCTCTTTCCTTATACTTGTATACCTCTTCATCTCAATTTTTTTTTCCATTCCTCTCTCCATCTCCCCCCTTATGCATATTTTCTCTTCCTCTCAATCCGTAAATGTGTAAATATCCTCTCTTTCTCTCTTTCTCTCTCTCTCTCTCTCTCTCTCCTTCTTTTTCCCTTTCAGGCAATTTTTTTGTATAGTCTCACTTCTTATAAACATACATTTACACGAAAGATTTTTGTAACTTTGAGATACACATGATTAATTCCCAACATAATTTTGAAGTTAAAGGTAATACAAAGTTTTGGGAAATTTTGAAAATTTGATAGAAGTGATTCTTTACAATTTTGATGTATTTGGATGCCCCTGTGGATGTATTATAAGCACAAGAAAATTTAGCCCCTAAAACACTTCTGCTTTCGAGAAAAGAGTTGTCAGTATGCTGGAACAGTTTCATCTTTGACGTGCCGCGCAGAGTAATGCAATTCGTTCTGAACTCAAGCATTGACACACTCCCAACCAAATCAAACCTTGTACGCGTTGGGGCAAAAACGTCTCCGATAAATGTGACCTATGTGGAAACCGTGAAACTTTGTTGCACGTCCTGAACTATTGTAACGTGCAACTCACCCAAGGCCGATACACTTGGAGACATGATAATGTACTTAACGTCATACACACTGCCCTCACCAAGACAAAAGCAACAGTAAACGATACACCCAACCCCGAAATAATAGTAGATCTCAATCAGCCCAATGCCCATGCATCCTCAACTATCCCACGAGAAGTAATACCAACAACTGACCGACCCGATCTAGTTCTCTACTGGCCCAACGAAAAGAAACTGCTCATCTTTGAACTAACTGTCCCATTCGACCTTAATATTTCCAAGGCCCATGAGTATAAATGTAATAAATATGCCCCCCTGATTCATGACATTTCGGCCCGCAATTTTGATGTATCCCTTATAGCATTCGAAGTCGGGAGTCGCGGTCTACTAACTAACCACAACTTTCAGTCACTTAAATCACTAATCAAAATGGCTAACGCAAACGTAACCGCCAAAACCCTGTCAAATCAAATTTCAAAAATGGCTGTAGTGTCATCATTTTCAATCTTCCATGCAAGACAAGCCCCAGCATGGACATTACCTCCACTCCTCCAATAACAGCCTATAGATGTGGAAAATACGTGTAGGAACCAGGAGGACACGAATATAACAGCTGAATGTTAGAAATTGATATATACTGATATAATTATATAGTTTGAAGTCTATGACTGAATTGAAATTGGAAAGTATATTTTGTGTCAATTTTTATCAAATCAATTACTAAATAATGAAATTCGATGCTACAATTGTATTTGTCAATTACCAAAATATATACTTGGACATTAATTCTTTTAACAACAACAAACAAATCAGTGATTTTAAATTTAATCGAGTTTATCATCAATTGTAAACTATGAATAAACTATAAATGTAAACTATGCAATGTACCTTTTATAGCAACTCAAATGTGTGATTATTTAGAAGCAAATGACCAAAATTTTTACTACAAAATTCATGAGAACTCTTTAAATAATGATAAGTCAACTTTTATAACAAATGTGTGTATAATACGATACAGCTTATTCTCCGTGAGATGCAATCAAGAAATCTGTTGTAAATTCATTCTCTCCGTCTCTCTCCTTTGCTATGTCTCTCTTCCTCCCTTTTCCCACTTCATCCTCCTTCTCCGCTAAACTTTACCATTACGTTCTACATTACATAAATATTATTATATTTTTAGATTGAACGAACCCCATAATTAATTTTTCATATTATAACTGATACTTCTGACTGCTAATGATCTTAGAACAAGTATATATGTTTGTATGTATATGTTTACATGTTAGGCCCTGCCTGAGTAATGTCAACGTCCTGGGCCACGATTTTCACGTCTTTATAATATGTCTATTCACTATGTGAAGGAAAGATTCCTTGTTATCTTATTTTGTATTGTTATATTGTTACATTGTATATGCTTTTCTATGGAAATAAATACTACTTTATTAGTAACAAAAATTTACCGGTGCTCCCGGTAAATTTTGATAAATTTCAAATAGCGCCTACGGCCGTACAATCGTAGATGCGACCATGAAAATCTCAGAGTATGTAATTGTGATATATAATTTCCAAACGGGAATAGCTAATCGGTCGATTTTAGTCAAGAAACACTGTGTTATAGGTTGGTTGGTTGGTTCTTCGTTTAGATGGCGCTCTTCAATCTCAAAGATTATTTGCGCCAGTCAATTTCGTGTATAGCTTTGGCGTGGGCTTCGGAAATCAAGCCCACGAGCGACTTTCCTTGGTGAAATGAAATTAATAGTGATATGGTTTAAAAAAAAAAAAAAAAAAAAAAAAAAGCTGCAATATTAAAATTGCATAAAATGCACATAAAAGGCGAGATGGGAGTTAGTTGCAATTGTTCATGGAAAAACCGCAAATACTTCATTTTATATATTATTACAGGATCGACATAAGTTAAGGGGATCCCTGATAGCTTTAAAAGCTATCTAAAACGATTAGTATCGTATATGTAACCCAATAATTCACGAGTAAAAATTGGGTTAGACATCAATAATTCGTCGCTGTTTTCACGAAGTGACGGTAGTGAAAAAAAATTGCATTCACTTTGCGTTACGATTTTCCTCACTACCGTCACTTCGTGAAAACAAGGACGAATTGTTTCAGATTGGGGTTGTTCAATTTAATCCTTTCTTTTAAGAGACGTCTATCTTTGTCGTATTTTGTACAATAGAAAATAAAAATAAAATAAAAATAGCTTAATTAATATTTTGACCTTGAGAGGGAGCTATACAACATAAAGAGGTTATTATTTACAATTTCATAACTTTAGATTCGATTTCAACCGCGACAACGCTCACTGAATATTGTACGATCGCATATGCTTCCAATATGTTCATTTGAACCAAATTCATGAACCCATACCAAAACTTTGTATTACCTTTAATCGATTAAATTTTGTTACCTGGAGCTGTTTTCCGAGATTGCTCGTCGCCTCGTCCATACTGTCATTGCGATCGTCACTGCTCTGATCTGACAGCGATCCCCCATCGGTCTTTCCCGTCGACATCAGAGCCGACGTCGAAGACGACAACGATGACATATCCCTTACGTTATTCGTATTCGTCATCGCGTCCGTAGTAACTGATTTGGATGACGACTGCTCTCGGAGATCCGTAAGGAGCGTCATGATTCGACGATCACGGCGAGAGAGGTCGGCGGCCATCTGGACGATACGACGATCTCGACTGGCAAGGTACTCGCGGAGGATAACGATCTCTGAGTTTTGAGTCTGCACCTGTTCATCGAGGTCGCCTTTCTGGCGCTTCAGTCGTCGGCAGGAATCGGTGGCGTCTTCGAGAAGCTGTTCACGACTTAGGAAGTCTTCCTGGAGCATAGTCAACTGAACCTCCCGTTCCTTTAAAGAAGCCTAGATAACGACGGTGTAAACGAAATCAATTTTTGCTAAAGACTGCCAGAGAAATACACATTATTTGCAGTGCTGTCGTTAAAAAATCTACCTTTCAAAGGAACAAAATATGTAGGTAAGTCTTAATCGTATGAAGAAAACAATGCGATTTCGTTTATTGTGAGCAGATTTTTTCCCAAGACGCATCCCAACTTCAATACCCTTTTCCTGAACTTGCACGAAAGGTTAATGTGAACTCAAATTTAGACACTTTGGGATTCATGATGATTTTAATAATCAAGCAACAATAAACGCCAAAAGGTTTCTGAAGATTACGATAACCCCTACATACCTGGAGATCGACAAACTTCTTGTTCTCGTCGGTGAGTGCATTTCCAAGCACACGAATTTCGCTCTCTTTCCTTCTTAGTTCTTCTCGAATTTCAGGACTGTTTTCAATGCGGTCGTCTTTCCCTTGATCGCCTTCCATATCACTTTCTACCTCCTTGACTTCTTGCTTTACCTCAATCTCGGTCCGAATGTGCCTCCTAAGTTCCTCAATTTTGACGTCCCGTGCAGCAATCTGCATTGATAATTAAGAGCAACAAGAGAATATACATTGAAACAAAGAGTTATAATGTGTTTGTCTATATTTTGCCATACTAAAGTTAAAAGTCAGATTATGTAAGTCAGACTACATACATAAGAGAGCAATTACATGAATAGACTTTAAAACGATTTTGGGGGAACAGCGGTCCAGATAAAGGAAAACATGCTAGCTTTCATTCAGAATAATCTGATTATTTGCTTTGAACAGTCAAAAGACAAATCATGTCTGGAAATGAAGAAAATCAATTAAAAATGTCGTCAACTTACTTGCGATTCAAGCTCTCGTCTTATCGAAGTGAACTCGGCTTTCAGTATTTCTGTTGTTGAATGTTCTTTCCTCAGTTTGGCAGTCTGTAAGTCTAATTTAGTCTTCAATTGATCTGAAAACAAGAGAGCAATAGAAAAGTCAAACTTGTGAAGTTAAATGGAATAGGGGTATAATCCCTAGGAGATTAAAGATGGAAGATTTTGTAGCACTGACGGTCAATTAAGTGAACATAGTCACATATTTTTGTTCTCTCTTCACATATGAGGACCTCTACCATCTCAAAAACAAACCATGTCCTTTAGAAGAAAACAAAAATCAATACTTCCTACATCCATGCTAGCTCAGCTAGTGCTTAGTAGATTTCCGTGCCTTTAAAACATACTACTCCCCCCCCCTTCGGACAAATCAATCTTTTCAAATCAAAACAGAATTTATTAAAAAGGAATCCGCATTTTATTGTTTTCCACAAATAGATTAATGATGATATCAATATGATAAGGTCCAACATATAATATTAAAAATATTAGCTTATCAATATCGGATCCAACACGGAAATTTTAACGAAAACACGTCTGCACAATACCGGTCTTGATTTTAAATTCCCTCTCCTTCTCCTCATTGATCCGTTCCGCCTCCTTTCTTTTCTCCTCTCTCGTTTTCTCTATCTCGGACAGGAGTCTCGAGTTGATATCCTTCTGGCCTACCAGGCGATCTTCCAGTTTCTGAATAGCTTGCAATAATTCTTGCTTCTCCTTCAGGAGCCCCTCCTCAACATTCCTGCCAGAGTACAAATGGATGGGTCAGTGACACAAAGGCGTAACTCCATTTTGAGAAAAAGTGGTTTATGTGTCACTGAGCACTTGTGCCTTAAGGAGTAAGTCCATGTTTCACTAGCCTTTGACTTCAATGGGGTATTGGGTGGAGTTAAAGTCTTTGTGTTTCCTGGAAAGCCCACATTTTCTGAACATTTTGATATCAAATACTCATTTTGGCAAAATATGGAGTTACGTCTTCGTGTCACTGAACCCTCGAAATGAAGTCGAGTAGAATAAAAACAAATAGATTACCACTATCATAGTGTCTTAACAGTACATGAATATATAAATAAAAGATGTAATTATATTTGAGCAAAATCTCATTTTGGAATTCGTTCGTAAGTATCCGTCTCTTGAAGTAAAAAATTGTCCTAGTTTCTCTATCGGATTTCTCGAAAAAAAGGTGAGGAGAGTGTACCAAATCATTTGATATTTAACATATTTTGTGTACATAGAAATACTAATGGGTCAATTTAAGTCCAAATCTTGTTAATTCTATCTCATGTGTACGTGTACAACAGAAGGCTCAAAGCAAGGTGAAAAAGCGCTAGGCCTATATTAATGATATTTATCAACTTCTTCTTCATTATTTACATTTGGGGTAAAGATAAAAAGCTCCCCCCCCCCCCCAACAAAAAAATAAACAAACAATGTGAGGAGGGTAGAAAAACAAGGAAGGAGGAAGGGATGACAAATTAATACATAATTTCATTTGGCAAAATAAACAGATGAAACCTCTCTGGATATAAACAAGTATTATTTATTTTAAAAAAACACATGTACATTTTGAGAAAAAAACTTTTAAAAATGTGTATGTATTGGTATTGTATCTGTTTGAATTGCATTTTTAATGAAATTATGAAAGTTTGTTTTAAATGGGGGGAAAAACGAACCCAAAAGTAAACAAAAAAGTTGAAAGACTCACCCTTTAACTGCAGAGTCTGGTTGTTTTTCTCCTGAGTCTGATTGTTTTTCTGTTTCTAGTTTTCCATTGAGCTCTTTGATTTTCTTCTGAGCAGAATAGTATTCTTTCTCCATTGCCTATAGTAAGTCACAAGATAGGAATGAAGGCAAAAAAGTGATATTCATTAGAGAATGAGAGTATGCACCGAGGCACTGAACATAAGTTTTTAAGCGATTTGCGAATAGTTTGCCTCTGTATGGTTTTCTCAAGCTCCGTGCAAATAATGACGATGGACATTACGGTTATAAAACTGAGAAAATGCTCTCACCGTGAACAAGCAGAAGCTCATTGTTACTATTTTGTAGGTTAAACTTTGATGAATAATCGTGATAATCACATGTGCTTATCAAATCAAGTTAAAATCTAATCATCTCTCACAAATATGACAAAAGATATGAAGTAAAATTAACCAAAGATGGTGACATAAAAATAATGGCGGAGTAAGTAATTACACTGTAAAAAAATAATAGTCGAAATAACTCAATAAAATTGAGGAAAAGAATTGCCTTATTTTTATTAAGTAAATATTACCTACGGCATCTTAAGTAGAATTTACATATTTTGCTGAATACATTTTTACTCAGTTAAATCGAGTTACATTAACGTAAATAATTTAAGTATTGTAATCATTTTAGATAATTAAAAAAAAAGCTATGATATGATTACATATTGCACGATTTGGTACCCATCTAATCTAACAAGTAACGTCCACTAATCATTCACTACTTCTATTTAAGATTTAACCGCTTCAATTCGACACATATTGAAAGGCTCCAAATTTTATATATACTTGATCGTAGCATCTTAAAAGGAAAATTGGTTGACAATTTCCTGAAATATCAAGTTTTGATTTGTTTTGAACTGGGTAAAAATTAAAAATTGTCTTGTCTTTGCTTAGCCATGTTAAATGAATTAGTAAATGTTTTAAAGTCCTTAAATTTTCATTCAACCACAAAAAAGAATTGTTTTATTTAAAAAAGAGTTTAATTTGGTCTTAATGAATATTCATAAGTTATGTAAATATTTCTATTACGCACTGCATCGGTCCTTACTTTAAAAAGATAAGAATAATCAACATAAATTGTTTGAGTAATACGTATAATTTCTGATTTTGAGTTGAAATTACTAAATTAATACAAGCTGAAATTACTTAAAGTTCTTATGTATTTGATTTTACTTAAATATTTCACGTATGTTCTACTAAATTGAAAGTTTGAGTTAGCAAGACTTAAATTTAGTGCGTAAGTGGCAAAACTAATGTTTTCAAGTAAATTCTACATGGAAAAAATACGTAAAAATTACCAATGAACAAATTCTTTTTTACAGTGTACAATTATTATCATTATTATCATTATCATTATTATCATTATCATTACTTTTGTAAAAATAATGGTATTATATGGCGTTGTTTTCGTGTAGTACAAGAAAATATTGTCATAGCTCGAGCAATATTTTCTTGTATCACACTCAAAGCCATCCAATATTACATAATTATTCTAGGTAGATACTACTTGTATTCGATGAACCATTTGCCGGGTCTTGTTTTTAGATCATGTACCTTCCTCTTTCTGAGAGAGTGGGCGAGACGGTTTTGCAAGCCGCCGACTTCTGGGCGATAAATCCTTTATTTATTACGTCAAAAATAGCGAAGAAAACTAAAATTAACAATCATCTATAAAAACATTATTAAAAAATATTGGTAAGCATGTTCGGCATACCTGTACAGTAGAGAGTGCGTTGTGATACTGAGCTACCATCATGGTATTAATTCGTTCAGATTCTTGCATTCGGTTCGTTGTGTGGTTGACCTGCCTCATCAGAGCTGCATTCTGTGACAGGGTGTTAATCAAGGCAATAACAACATGATTGCCGCGGCACTGATGTCCTTTGGCAAGACATTAATCTACATTTGCCACACACGACCCGGGTGCCGTAAATGGGAACCTGGCAGGAATTAATTCCTTGAAATGCTATAGAGTGCCGTAATGGCAGCCATACTACAGCCGGGGTAATCATTTCCAAAGCTCTTTGGAAGCGCATAGAGACGTTTTAATGTGATATGCGCTATATAAGAACCAAATATTATTATTATTATCATTATATACATGATAAACTATTGTGCGAAATTAAAGACGTTGTTTTAATGATCCATCATTTCTGAAATCATAATTGAGTGATCAGGATCCTAAATCAAGATGCACTGCGCCGTCCTGGGTCTCTTCCCTTCTTCTCATCACTGTTAAAAGGTTGTGCCAATAGTCAACCCAACCATCTATTGGGCAATACTTGCATAATTGTTTCGTATCTTGCTCAACAGCTGGTCAAGATTTTCCCAACAAGTGGGCTACCGTAGTCGGGCAATTAAAGGGTCATATCTTTGCCCAAACAATTATGCATTTGTGAAGTAGGGTACATAATTTTGTTTACCAATACCACTGGGCAAAATATTGCTCAATAGATGGTTGGGTTGATTATTGGCACAACGTTGGGCAAATTGTTGAAAAAAAATTACCCAACCTTTTCGCAGTGCATGTTCCCCTTATTAATACCAACACGCATTAGAATATTTATATGCTATATAATTATTTTCAGGCAGATAGAGTTGCTTTCTGATTTTCAATGATCTTAAAATGATATTGATAATCATTAGTTTGATGATGGAACCAGTGGCCGTATGTCGAGTGTTTAGTCCGGCATGCAGCTATGACCGAACGAAAAAATATATAATGAACCCTCAGTAATATCATCATGTTACCAATTCTCTACTTTGTGGAGAATCGGGAGACAGTGTATATTGGATGGCTAACCAACGGGTCAGGGGATTCGAACCCTTTACCTAACGATTGAAAGTTGAGTGCATGGACCAACACCTCCACATAATAAGAACTTGTAGAATAACGCTAATGTTCAATTACGAATATATTCAATTATGAATGATGTATATACATTGTAGTCTATCATTGATTCCTTGATTTGATTCAGGAAACCATGGAAATATTCAGAACCAAGAAATGAAGTCTTACATCGGCTGTGAGACACTTGACCTGGCCGGTGAGTCTCTTTTCTACCAGCCAGCCCTGGGTTCGAGACTCCTCTAGCTCCCTCTGAAGTGACTGCCTCAGTGCCAACAACTCCTCCTCATATTCCTGCTCGCGTTTGACAGAATCCTCCTATATTCAGATAAGAGGTTACGAATTGTCGAAGAATTATATATAGATGCAAAAAGAAATTCCATAAGTAATCATTCATTACCCATAGAATTCTGAAGGGTGTATGTTAGATTTCAGAGTGACATTAGGAGGTAATTATGTACCGATCTTTCGATAAAACACAAATTTGACCAACACAATCATGATGATTAAGTTTGATGTTGATTAATGAATAAAAAAAACCTTGAAAGCATTTTGTTCAAACGTTTTCTAATCACACCCTAACTGGCTCTCCTTATTAGGACCTTTGGCCAGGTTGTCGTTAGGTGTTGAATGCTAGTTCATACCGGCTACAGGCAAGGTTAAAATGACCAATATATTCCACAATATTAAAGTACTTCGGGGGATTAGATAACAGTTGGCTTCTCTAACTCTGGCAAACGGTAACAAACTAACATAAACAGATGTTATACCCACTCACACCGATGAGGTCGACACAATGCCGAACACAAAATTTAATCCAGGGGTCGCTCTATGGGGGTCGGATTTTAAACGCTGGTTCGGTGATGTAACTGAATATCATACCTACCTCAGGCACATCTGTAATTGTATAATTGTTTTAAATGGGGGCACGCTACAAGAGTCCTATCTCGCACCCCGGGGCAACGTGTCTGACACGGCCGGTTGTAGCAACTACTCCGAAGATCAAGATTACATTAATCTTGATCTAAGGAGACACGAACGAACGAAGGCACATCTCAAAACCAAATCCAAACCGACCGATTGTCCGATCGGTCTGTGGTCGGTCCAGTGACTGTCTCATATATGTGACAGGGGTATCAACAAAGAAACAAGAACGAGTTACCTTTAAAGACTGAACATGTCTCTGTCCATCCTGCACCATCTTCTCCAGCTGATGAATCTGAGAGAGGTAATAGAGGGATCTCTTCAAGACGATTGGAGACGTCACTCCTATCAGGTTATTGGTGTCTGGCCTCTCTAGTGCTGTCGAGCCGGTTTCCGTGGTTGTGATGGTGAGACTCTCGTTCGATTCGGATGGCATCACGTCCATGGATCCTGAACTGCATCGGCCACCCTCGCTCAAGGAGTGGTCTGAGCCACTGTGGAAGTGTTTGAAGGCTGTAGGTATGGTCATGGGTAAATCGTTCGCCGTAAACGAGCCAGGGAGCCCCTCTATTTCCAGTACGACCTCGTCGGGAAAACTTATGTTGTTGCCGAATGAATCCATTTCTGATTCAGGATCATGGATCAAACTTCTGTTGAAGCATCCTACATCGTCAGGATCAGGGTCGATCATTGCAAATGGAGCCGGTAGGTCTTTCAATTGTCGCAGTTGCTGAGATGATGATGTGTCTTCGGCGTTAGCTCCTGTTTGGATCCCGTCTTCGCCTTTTGCTTTCAGGGTTACTTCGGTGAAATACCTGGCGCAACCAGTGTCGCAAACTGGAATTTCAACGAATGGCTTTATTGGGGCGAACAAATATTCATCAGGCGAGACCCTCCCTGGAGAATTCTCGAAGCTAGTATCGGGTGCGGCCAGTGGAGAGGCACTCGCCGAGATCTCCTTTGGAATGATGTCTTCAAGCTCAAAAACATGCTCTTGATTCGGGCAGTTGATCAGAGGTAATTCCTTCTCAGTAAAATAGATTCTTGGAGAAGGTAACTCCCAAATTTCATCGGAATGATCGATCCCTTCACCCTCACATGGTCCAGAGCTATCTGACACTTCTTCGATGATGGGTTCCACACAGCTTGGAAGCTCGACGGCGAAGTCAGATGTCGATGACGACGACGATATCGACAACGACGACGAGGAGGAACTGAAGACACCGCTCACCTTTTTCGTAAGGCCATTTGAGGGAGAATCCTTCTCATCAAGAAGAAATCGGACAGTCTTACGTCCT